CCTTTCTCAACATCTTATCAAGAATTATTGATGTACATGTTATAGCTAAAAGCACCTGAAAGAAGGAAAAGGATAGTTGGATGAAAACTTCTGTATCAACTTTTAATTAACAGATGACAGTACCTTTTGTAAAGCCTAGAGGGAAGGATAAGCTTAGGGTAAATATTTTTTGATTCATCATCAAGAACTACTTCTAGTTTTGGTAAATAATCACGTCTGACTAATCAAAGAAAACACTTCTCTTAGAATGTAAAAAATAACCTACACATTAGCTAATGTAAGCAAAATTTAAAGACAATCACATCTGCTGAGCATAGTAGAGAGAACAGACTCATTCATTAATGTACATAAAATTATGTGGACTGGTGTAAATACTAAAAACTTGTCAGCTTTAAGATTTATAAATAACTGCTTTTTGTAATCTGTGGTAAAAGTACTTACACTTGAATGAAATAATTTATTATGGACAAAATATAAAATGTTTTGAACTGTAAGTAGAAACACAGCTTTTACAAAAAAATTAGCATTTAGTGGATAAAGTAACAGCAGTAACAATGAGTAATCGGTAGGTTCTTTTGTAGCAAAATGGTAAAAATTAAAAAGCTGAAATTTTTAGGTCTTTCTGTGATCATAACTGTTTTGTGGCTTGTGGTTTGTGTTTGAGTAAAAAGACAATTTCTGAAGTTTTCTTTTTATGATTGGTTTGCTCTTTGAGTTAAATTAAAACATCTTTAACAAACCTCTCCTATGCTCTGTTCATTATGTAAGAATCAGTAGGTTTCTTTTGCTTTTATATTTTGTGCAAGAGGCTTCTCAAAATTCAGGGAATTTTAAATAGAAGATGTGCACATCTTACAAAATGATTAAAAAACAAGTAAACAGATGTCAATTAAAAAAAACTTCAGGATCTTATGTTTGCCAGTACTTGAAAGTCAAATCTCACAAATGTTTTTTTCCAGCAACTGAAGAAGATTCCTAAATCATTTTATCATTTCTAATAATGTTAGATAGCACTATGAATTATTATGATCCCATGCTTAGGTAGAGGAATGTAGATAAAGTGTAGATTCCAAAGAGTTTACAAATATGTTCATTGAGAAGCTTAGTCAAATTAACAGAATTTTAATTTATGTAACTTCTAAAAGATAATGATAGAAAACATAATGAAAACAAAATTTTAACCTTTCCTTCCAAACTATGTAGGCAGTTTGTTGGACAAATAGTTCCTACACAACCTGAGAAAAAATTTATAAGGAACTATATACTGACAAAATTAAAGTTAAGGAAGTGAAAATATTCGTACTTCATGTTCAGAGGAGAATTATAGTTTTAGAAAACAAAATGTCATCAATATTTAATTTACAGAGAGGAAAAAATGGAATTAAGTTAAGGCATGTTATATAAAATCTTACAAAAAGATAAATTTATATAAGTTATTTCCCAGGCAGAGGATAAATTGATAATAAATTGAATGGTTATATTTGTTTGGATGAAAAATATTTATTCAAGTGCATGAAGTTTCCCAAACACCTACATCAGAAAATTCAACTATGATTACATTCACAGAGGGAAGTGTTCAAATGATCAAGTGTCACACCACTGGCTCCTGGATAAACCCAGGAAGACAAATGGCTATGACAGATCTTTTGCTTTTCCTTACATTCGTTTGTTTACACATAAACTCTTGCATGGCTTGCTTACCACATCACTCCTTTAGCTAAGTGCTGATGGAAGGTCATCGGTTCAACGCCTTTTGGGAGCAGCCTTAATTCTTTTTTCTGAATATACCTGTCATTCACTGGATGAAATTGTATTTCACTCTCCCATGTTACATGTGATGAATTGTCAAAGCAACTAGTTTCAGCCTCTACTGTTCTAATTCTCACAACATCAAGACTAAACTCTGTATTTGTGACGCTAGGAAAAATTAACACTTGATCACTGGTGTTGGAGTTCCATTGTGTGATCATCCAAGTGCATGTGGGGCTGCAGATTACTTGTCTTTTGCTATGACTGGCACTTGGTCATCTCTGCTCAGTTCTGCTTGACAATGATCAACTGCAGCAGGGTTTTGGTCAATAATGGGAAGGGAAGTGACAAGCCAGTATATAGGATGTTTTTTTTTTTTTGGACAATTTAATTGTATGAATGGTTTAAGGCAGCAATGCAATGTCTTGTGCATATTCAAAATATCTTTATTAGCATTTTGTGTCAGTATTCTCAATAATTGATCCTATTTGGTTGTTCCTTTCACTTTTGATGGTTTTCTGGCTCACCAACAAATTTTTAGTAGTTTTTTTTTATGTTGAATATGGTTTTACCACTTGTAACAAACAATTCAAAATATTGGAATGATAACCCTCAACAAAAGAAAGCAGATGACAAGAAGAAAGGAGATTTCATTAAAAAACTGTCACCACATTGGTCTAAACATGTAATTTTATTGTAATTTACAACCATAATGAAAGTAAATCCAATATAACACTAGTAACAGTTAAGTTAACTTCATTTTACTCTTTTTTGCCTTTTAATCCAAGCACAAGATAATACTGTATTACAGAGCTCATCAGTCTAGAGACCTGTCTTGGTTAACTAGACAGTGAAATCAAAATCCCAAAAACAAATTGATAAGTGGCAGTGTATTTACATTTGAAGGGGCTTTAAGTGATAGTATGGTGCTCCTCTCACTGTATTTTACTAGGATCTTGAATAACTATCATCAAGTATTCTTTATCTGGAATTAAAAATTGGAAGAAATCTTTAAAGTAATTAAAGTAAGGGGGTAAGTTTGTCATAAAACCATGGCATATCGTCAGTGGAAGAGTATAACAGGGTAATTTAACTTATTATCAACCGAGTTGATAATGTAAATTGGTCATCATTAAGAGTTTCGAAGCTGGCATTTTGAGTGTTAGCCATTCATCAAAGTGAATGAGGGATTCAACTCAGCTGATAATTAATACTTTAATTACCTTTCAAGGTAATTACTGAGTTAACTTGAGTAGATTTAACACAAGATGTTGAAGCTAGCTTGTTTTACCACATGTTGATGGCATATGTACACAAATATACAACACTGATCAGAGAGAGGTGAGGTGAGGTGATGTGCAAAGTAGAATTCACCTTAATAGCCAAAGAAAAATTAAATGTTCCCTTGTTTTGCTACAGTTACCAAAACATAAGTTTTTCCTGGTTTGAAATGTGAGGTTTTTCAGCTTGGAAGGTCAAGTATCACAACCACACAGACTAAACCTCTATGATTCCGTTTAATAACAGAACAAATTGCAAAATTTTATTTTCTTATGATGCAGGAACATGCACCTCCCTCCATATAACCTTGTTTTCAGCCCATGCCAGCAATTCTTAATCTCAGTACATTCTTACAAGGACCAGTTAGAGTGACATACAATGACAACATGACACCTATAGTACTGACAGCTGGATCATAGACACAGTAAAGTTAATTCATAACAAGGTTACTACACAAACATAATCTATTTCCCTTTTAATATTTTCAGCAGTATTATTTCAATGAAACGTAGGAAAACTTACCAGGAGCAACCAGAATTTCATGCTTCTTCGAACGGACTCTCAGAAACATTAAGTCATTCTAAACATGAAAAAATGAAAACATCAGTTCCTTGAAAATAAATGATTTGCCACAAACAGGACCAAGTAATAAGGAGTCACAACTAAATTTCTGTCAAAAAGTTACTTACCCATCAAGTGTGGTACGTTGGCACTATTTTAAAAAGTAAGTTTAGATGGATTTCAATCTTGTGCACCTTTCTTTTAAAACTTCAGTTGAGCAAACGAGATTTTAAATACTGTGCATCTTGGAGGAAGAGTCTCTAACTTAAATTGGCTTTCAGGAGCAAAAATGTCTGAAACCTGAAAGTTTTGAGTTGAAAATAGGGATTTTGGATGATTTCTGACAAGAGAAAATTCATGAAGTACTCAATTTAAGTGAAACGATTTTAGTTTGAATTTTTGTACCAACAATTACAACAAGATTACTTTGTTCTGATAATGAAAATAATCCCAAATCTCTCTCAATTTAATCAGTTCCAAAACAGATAGAGACTTTGTTGGAAAATCACATAAACAGCATCATGGTAAAATTTCCGCAGAGCCCCATGCCCTTGTAAAACAAATCTGTTTTCCCAATGGTAATGTATTGTTTTTGTCATTGCTTTCTCTATCCAAGAACTGAATGCATAATGTAGTATGGGGCTATGCCGAAATTTTACCAGCATCATTAACACTACTAAGCTTTTGCTTCAACAGCTTCTTAAGCAAAAACTGTTCTCCACCCATAGTTGGCAAAGACTTTTAAACAACGCTTGACATACACGGCCACCATGCTGACAACGAAAAATAAGTTCCCTTTGGAAACATTAAGAAAATAACACAAAGACATTCCAGACCTGTGGATCGATATCTCGAACTGTATTCCTTGCCTTACTGGTCAATTGGTGAAATAACCCAGCATATTGTACAGTTGTTGAGTTATCCATGGTCGTTCTTATAGGAATTCCTGCAGCGGAAAAATCAATGAAGAGCATTTGCATCTCAATTTAGAACTGCCTTATAGAAAAACGCGTTCCTTCCTTGAGCACTTTCTGTGTTGTTAAAGAAGGTTTTCAACCATTTTCAGAATTTCGTACCTTCACTATTGACGACAATAATTCCAAGAACGCCTTTGTGGCTCTGGATTCTTTTCAGCGATTCCTCAACTTCAGACTATAAGAAAAGAGAAATTTTATATTTTAAACGTAATCGTAAATAGTCAAAACACGAAAAGTCAACTAAAATTCGCACCATTGTCGCTTTCCTATAGCTTGCACTTGTTTTTCGGAGACGTTGCCACGGAACAAAACCTGCTTTGCTTTATGGGTGATTTTATGAGCCCTTGCCTAACTGATCAGCTGTTTTTTCAATTAAAAGATGCACCTTGTTCACAGGGTTCTGTTGTGCGTGCGACGAGGAGGACTGGAATCTAAAGAACTAAAAGCATTTCCGCTCCCCTTTGTTTTGGATATAATGATGACGTCTTCTATGTTTTCTGATGTTTTGTTGGCGTCTTTTGCCACCAGCTGATCAATGAACCTGTGGGGATTATGTGCTTAAAACGACGTTAGATTTTTTGAATGACATGAAGGAATGGAGCGATCAGAGTGGTAAGTTGTCGAAAACTGGGAAATTATATTACATTCATTTGCAAATTAGTAGAAATCAGCGCCACTCATGTAGATTTAGAAGTTGCCACTCTCTTACATAACGACAAGAATTGAGATAAACGTTGGATTATCAATTTTTTGGATAACATAAATCGTTTGTTTGCGTATATGAAACTTACATTAAGCATACACGAGGAGTGCTGTATTAATTACTTATTAAAGATCAATAGAGCGCCTAAGGAATGGATGATAGGCTAGATTTGGAAAATATTGAAAGTGCTCCTGCTGTTTTGTTATTTTGGGCTAAGATTGATGTTCCATTTCATAGACTGTGATTTATTTCCTAGCAGCAATATATTGATGTCAGTCTCAGCAGGTCTTAATCAAACTAAAAGCACTATTTTGATTTTGTCTTTAGCATAGCTGTTTTTTCTTAAATTGACCAGATCTTGACTCATTTAATACTAGCACACTAGTTTCACCCTGATTCTTAACCTTGTGATTGAAAGTAATTAAAGAAAAAAAATTTTTGATTAATGATTTAAGTTACCACAAGCATGCAACATACAGTAGTAGGTTTCATACTTCTGCAGTCGGCCATAACTTGTTGAGAGCAGACTCAGGTGCTGGAGGATGGGTATTCAGGGTTGTGAAAGTGATTTATTTTAAAGTCACCATTTTGTAACGTAAGATTTTAAGATCAGGTTCTGTAAACAAAAATATTGGTTGCCATATGAAAAAAGGATGCTGTTAAATTATTCAAAATATGATTCATAATAATTGTTATAATTTTAATAATAGTGGCTCTGACATAATGCATTCTTAAGAGATGTGAACTGAAGTCATGGAAACAAATAGAATATTACTGAATAAATTGCATATTACTGAATAAATTGCATAAAATCAGACCTCTAAAACTGTTATAATTACAAAATTACTATTTAATTTTTCTTGGTTTTCAATGACACAACCACAAGAGCACTAATCTCTGATTGATATAAGCTCAATTTTATAAGGTTTCACCCTTTCTGAAGTTACTCACTCTAAGAGTATGACACTCTAAGTGTTTTGAACTGATGTGGCTTTTACAGGAAGGTAAATTTTAATTCATTCAAAATTATTACCAAAGAGTCATTTTAATAAGCATTTTCTTTGTATCTGAATGTGAAGCCATTACCCATGAGCACCTATCGATGATATAGAAGAAAAATTGATTTCCTCAGTTAGGGAAAGAGGTAATAATGTTTTCTCAGTGAAACACATCATAAAAATGAACAAGGGCAGGCACCACAAGAGAAAAAGACATTCCAAGAAATGTATGTTCCTAATTTGACATATCATAATCAATACAGATGTGTATTTTACAAAATGGGGGATAGTCTTCTGGTGAATCTATTTGTCTTCATATACCAGTGCATAGAAAAACTTGTAGTTAAAACCCTTTCAATGTTGGTTTATGGGCACCTAGTATTGTTATTTTGGCATGGTGATGTGCTTGTATTTGATAGAATATATTTTTATAATTTTTCGACAGATTGTTCAGAGGGTGATTATGATGAAGAAACAGAGCTGTTTGAACAGGAGACTGAGGAGTTTATGAAAGATTTTGTAGCAAAAATATTCCTTGAAGAGTAGGTTGGAATACTGTAAATAGCAGTTAGTGGAATATTTTTAAAGTCATTAGGATATAGTCCAAACAAATTAAAGGCTCAGGTTTTTATTGACGAGTTGTAGCTGAATTTTCTAGGCTGATTTTTATTCTCACATTGGCTAAATCTTTTCAAAAACAAAAACCTTTCATTTAATACAGTTTTTTGCTTTGCAGCCTCCTCTGATAATTATTTGTTGTTTCCTAGAAGCGTTATTTCTCAGGAGGACAAGCTCAAGTTTGGAATCCTTAATCAGGTAATAATACACATGAAAACATTATAGACGTCTGATTGACTGAAAACAAGTTCATTATTCATTTAAGATGAATGCAAAGTTGTGACATGAGTACAAAGTAGAAATAGTGTGCACACTTTCAAAATTTTGTTTATCTTACATTTTGTTCATGTAAATTATTTTAAAGAAACAACATGATTTCTCTTGCTATTTGGTGTAAGTAAAGCACCTGTACATTTTCCAAAGACTGCAATTTGCACTTGCCCTATGGGCTTGTGCAGTTTTGTAGTCTTTGAAAAATTTACACAAGGCATGCATAATTTATCAACTAATTGCACTTGAAATCAATAGCCCATACTAATTGTGATGTTGAGCCCAAATGTGATAAAGCGAAGGGGATTTTGGTGGCTGTGTGGTTGGCATTGTGAATTGTGGATCAAATATGTCTTGTTTTGAAGCAAGGCTGGGTCACCGAGCTTCAATTTCTAGACAAAACATTTTACTCTCACAATACTCTCTGTACCCAGGAATAAAGTGGTCATAGAAAACTGTATGGAAGGCATGAGGAAATTTAGAAGTTTAGCCTCCAAAATGTAGCTGCTTCATGCTCTTGAAACTGGGATAAGCTCTGTTTGGGAAGCCAGTTAGTTGTCTATGTGCTTATTGCCAATTTTGTCTTCTTTATTCAAAGAAATATTTATATTCCCATTGCATTTAGTTATTTATATCAAAATTTTGCTTTGCTCATCAATTTCTTTGTGTTTTAAAATCTCTTTCTTATCTGTACAAACAAAAGTAACAGTAAAAGTGTATAAGCATGCAGTACTGATTACAAGCCATTTGATAATTTGTTTTCTCTTCTACAGCATAGTGTGGGACGTCTTTCCTTTTCCAAACATGTTGACAACCAGGTAATGAAACTCTGTTGAAATATACTTCAATTTACAAGTCCAGATGATTAAACCTGACTTTTCAACAGTAAAGGGAATTAATATTTACCACACAAGTGAATAGTGCTTTTTTGTGCACGTTGATTGGCTAGTTTGAAGTGAATTGCAAGTGCTATTCACCCTTGAGCGACCATTTTTTCTGTCTATAATGAGAAATGAACTCATGTTATATGTTATATTTGTAGTACACACTAAAACAGTTATGCACCTCAGTATCAGTGAGAGTGGTGGATATTTACCTCCACTTAGGTGAATAATTCATAATTCATAATTATTAACCTTGTTATTAACAAATTAGACCCACCCTTTGCAGTTATCCAATTTTGTTAATCACTCCTATAATTACAGACTGAATAGGACTCCACTCAGTCCTATACCATTACTAATCAGTCACCTTGCTAAAGTGTTCTTTTTGCTTATTTGTTGATCAGTTCAAAGCTTAAATCAACATCCCTTCTCCCCTGGCATTTGAAGTTTTGAAGATTGGCTTGTTTTATTTCCTGCCCCCCCCCCCCCTAGGAACCAAAATTGTTTTCAAATGCCTTCCCCAAGGGCTGGATTTGACTGTCAATTTTTTTGGAAAAGGCAAGATCAATGACTGTAACTTTCTTGGTAACATTTTTTAGTTATTTTTTTTTATTAAAAAAAAATCAAACTCTATGTTAGCATATAGAGTAGCATGTTGGTTGCACCAATCATGTTGCCGCATTAGGTTATGTATCTCACACCAATCAGATTGCTGCATTAAGGTATGCATCTGGCACCAATTATATCATAGCATTTTAACATCTTGCACCAAACACAGCGTTTGGGTATTGTTTTCTTATAAATGATGTCATGGATCACAAAGCTGTGCACAAAGAATGACATTAATCAGAAATTTTTTTAAAATTTTTCTATATTAGATGTTGCTCTATCACATGTCATTTTCTGGTAAACAACTGACATTTTATCACGTATTCTAACTGCATTGTACAATCCCACTGAAAAAAAAATTCACATGGAACTAAATGCTATTGGTATTGAGTTTTCCATGCAGTTCTCCTGTGTTTGATTTTTTCTATGAATTAAAGTCAGTTAAAGCTACCTTGGACTTAACCCAATTGCATGTTAATTCATTGTGAAACAACCTGCATTTTGTCACGTATTTCACACATGCAGAGGGCAAAGTCCAGATAAGCAACAACCTATCAAGGAGCCCTCTTTGAAATATTATCCTTTTTCTTGTTCAATGTATCCTCTATTCAAGATTTCGATATATTTTTGGTTAAGGTCTATTTGAGGTACAACAGAGTTTCAGTTTGCTTTTCATTGTAAAATTACGTGTAATTTTTTTTTGAGGTAACTAACTGTAGAGGATAATTTTGATTTTCTCTCTTTTGGAGGAACGGCAGTGAGTGCTGTCTCTTAGGCAACTGTTATTTGGTCTTGTCATGTAACACGCTCTCTCTCAAACGGGAAATAGAGGGTGTTGTGTGAGGAGACCAAACAATGGCTTTGAAGGAGACAACAGTAAGCATGGCATGAGGCATTTCATTTTTACTTAGAAGTATTTAGACAATAGAGACAATAAATCACATAATATCTGTGTGAGTTCAGATAAATTAGGTTTTTTTTTCTGTCTTTCTGTGATATATGATCGTTTTTTGGAAGTTATGCTCTTTATTGTGACAAAAATGAAAACATTAAGTACACAAACTGTCCCATCTCAACACACCCAGCAAAAAAATTACTCTTGCATGCTATGCATGCCTATATTCTTCTAAATCCCTCCATATTGTAGGATAAAACATGCCTATTCTGGGAGAAAGACATGAGTAGTGTGGTTCATATTCCCTACCCCATCCATATAAGGTTTAAGTTAACCACCCCCTGGGTAGAAGGATGACAGTTAAATGCCTCTAGGTTGCCTTAGATTGGGGGGGGGGGGGGGGGGGGGAAGGTGTTGAAACTTTTAATTGATTGGGGCATTACTTTAGAACAAAGTGGGTTTAAACTAGTCTGGATTTCTTTTTTTCTTTTTTTTTTTGTCAGAGAGTATATTGCAAGAGTGTGCCAGAGACCATCTTCTTCAGACTTGTACAGTACTTTGCAATTGTTTTATTTGAGTAAGTGGGACCTTTTTCCTCCTCTTTCCTCATTTATTTCATGAGTCAATTCTTCAGTTATCTTTAATACCTTGCCTAGTTATTGTATAGTTAGTAAATTTTCACTTATTAAGAGTTGAAAAATTCCAGGATTGCTCTCACTGGTTTTGTTTCACATCACTTTGTGATTGGTTTGAAACTTGCTCTGTTTTATCAGCCAATCAGATGCCGAACTGGAACCAATCATGTCTTGGACACTGACACTATCTAAGGTTTCAGGCCATCTGCAGTGATTTCTTTCACCTGGAGTTGTTTTTGTCTCCTTTTGATTGTTTTTTCCTTATCTGATTGGCCACTGAATTACTATAATAATTATAGTTAATTGAAGGGTTTTGATGAAATCCCTTAGGGTTTACTAAAGTCAAGGGACTGGAAAAACCATGTTTTTTTAAAACCATCTCTTTATGTGGTTTGGTTCCATGCATTAACATTTACCCATTTGTTTACCCTTTAACTCCTAAGATCTGATTGTTAATTCTCCCTTCCAGCTGCTACACATTTCCTTGTAAATTAGTTTTGAGAACTTGATGTTAGATCAAGACAACAACTTCTACCTGATAAGTTTGAATATTCTCATTAGCTGTTTGCTGGATAATGAAAGGATATTATTGGGAGAAGTTTCATGTTGATCACTTTTGGGAGTTAAAGGGTTAATATTATATAATTATGCAATCATGAAAGTGGGTGTTTGTTTTGGTAACAATCATCTGAGATCAGCTGAGTGGCAAAAACGATGAGCTTGAGGGATGTGCAACAGGCCATTTTAGGATCACATGTAGTAACACCGAATCTAGCATCAGCTTAATATGAACTGTTATTTTTTAGAAAATTCAGGAAACGCAGATGTTTATGTCATCTAAGATGTAATACTAACCTTTTTCTTTGTGACACTGTTTGTGGACTTCTTTTCCTGAAAATAGGGTCATAAAAGTTAGCCTTGAGCATATAGTTTTGCTGTAAATTTATTGGTGGCAAAAATTTCCGTTTTATCTTCTCATAAAATTTCCATACTCACCCCATTTGTGGTGCGAACTCCTCCTCTGGCAGTCTCCTATAAGAAGAAAAAATAAACAAAGAAACCCACATCAAAACTAACATACTAGAAAATTTCGGCTGAAAAACTACTGTACATTAGTATTCAGGCATTGTAAGATGAAAAGAAACATTGTTGACTTTAAGTTACAGTGGTCGCCACAAAATTGAGATGGAAACAGGTCTCAAAAAATGCTAAAATGAACTGACTTACAATTTCTCTTTAGTATTCCACATTTTTAGCGCACTTTACCCGATTGATGGTCGTAAAAACTTACACCAAAGTATACAAACGGCCAACCAGAACGAAGGAAAATATCACAGGGGTGTTTGCACATTTCTTTTTTCAGCGCTTATTACGGATGTGTAAAATCTTTCCTTAACATGCAAAGTGTATTTGAAAATACTAAAATTTTTTGTCTCTGGAAGGAAGTGTATGCTATTTAGAAGAGTGGCCAATTCTATTACAACTTCCAATGATTTTGATAATTTTCATCTAACGTCTAAAATAGATTTAAGGTTAGCACAAAGAACTTACAGTTACACAAAATGCACTGGCGCTGGTCAGAAACTATACAATTGGGTGAATTTTGCTTCAAGCAAGAATAGGAATTTAAAGTTAAAAACAATTTTCAAAAAAGGCAAAATAATTACTATACTGTCGCTGTAAAGAAAACAGAACGAAAACCATAATTATGGTTCTGAGGTGTTTTATATCCGTTATCGAATCAATCATCTCGAACGATAAATGAATAAGTTTTCAGTTGAAACATTTGTTTTTGAAATATCGAACTAAATTTGTTAAAAGTAAACCAAATATGTCGAGGTTTGCGTTTGCTATCGCTTTTGTTTTGTGTTTTTTTTAAAATTTTAGTTGGTCTACCTGGAGCAGTGGCAGTTAAAAGATATTGTCACATAAACAATTTTAGAAACACTGAGTTGTAAATTTAAAGCCAATTCTTACTAGATCTTTAGGATCGTTGAGATAACCCAACGGACTTATCTTGTATTTTCCAAGCCCGTCATCTTTAAGCTGTATGTTATAATCCTGCTGTAATTCAACCGAAGTGTGCTGATCGTCCATGTAGCCATCAGCTTTGCTTTCGCCTGATTCCTTTTTCTCTTGCCCGAGGCGATCGTAGATGTACAGATGCGAGGGTTTTAATTTTCCTAAGTGGCTCATTCCGATTGTTGGTTTCGATAACCCCGCTAATATTCAACCCTACAGCCAAGCTGCATATTTTTCTCCGTTAAGAAAAAATTAATTTTTAATTAACAATCTCTTAATGACGCCAATTAGTGCAGCGTTTGTTTGGTAGTTCACAGTTTTATGGGTGACAGTTGACGCACGAATGATTTTTCTAGTAAACTTCCAAAACTGAATAGAATTTAAAAAGAAACTCTCGTGCTTTTCAATTTATCTCCACCATGCTTATTTTACTCACCAGTTCCATGCCTCTTATTATTTTTTCCCTTTTATCCCAATTTTTATCTGAAAGAAGAGAGGATTTCTATTACATAATTAATGAATTCGCACTTCGTAGAATATTGCGCTCGAACGTAGATTTCACTAAATGATTACAACATAATTATTTTGTATCTGAAGTGGTAAAAGTATTACATTCGTGTTAAGTTAATAAAATCCATTGTAGACGAGTTGTGAATGATACAAAAAATACGATAATCATTTTCCTTCCTTTTCAAAATCAGATGCAATGTGTACTCGGCTACATTTCAATACATCGTGATAATTGATAGTCGTGTAACATGCAGTTATGAAAGGTTTAGTTAACAACCATATTTCTCACCTTTCAACAAACTTATCTTTTAAATATCTGTCGTAAAATTGAAAAAACTTCCGGAAACAACAAATTGTACAGATTTGTACAGATTGTTATTGAAATGAAACGTAGCATACATTCGTTTTCATTAAGGAGCTGCTTTTGTTTCAGTCATTGATAAATAATTCAAGCATGATAACATCTTATGTCTTGTTGGGAATGAATTAGAATTGATTGATCTTCAAATAACCTGATTGTAGATGTTTTTCTGTTTCAATTGTGTTGAGCGAATGTACTTCTCTTTTATTTAATGTTCTGCATTCATTGGGCATCCACGAGTTTTTGAAATCGAGGATTCTTAGAAAGGGAGAAGAAATAAAGATAAAGATTTTTTTTATTGGCAACGTATTGAGAACTTCTTTTCTGACTGGAGACACCATAATAACTTGGTCAGAATAGTCCATAATGATTCGTTTGATCTGATAGTACCCGAAGGGCGAAGAACTCGTTTGTAAGCCGATCAGCAGGAATTTTGTGGGAGAAAAACTTGAAAAGAGAAAAATACTTGGACCTAGATAAGTTGTTGTTGATGTAGATAACACAGTAAGGTTATATGCACCACTAACAAAGAACTGAAACCACATGTGATTATACGACAGGCGACTGGTACATAGGAAAGGAAATAATATTTAGTGACTCAGTTCTTGGTATTACCTAGTATAGTAACTGCCAATTTTGGGACATCAGCACTATTCAGCCTGTGTTAAGCTGGCCACCACAGGGCTGTTGTCAGTGGCTGCATAATCAGTAACCACTCGATATGGAGTGCGCTTGTGTTACAGGTCTCACTGTAGCTTTTAAAGTGTCGAGAATTTACGAGATTATGTGGATTCCAACTTTATAACCGAGCCGAGGTGTCAGTAGCAAAAGCATAAAATGCAAGACAAAGAACTTTTCCTTATTTGTGTTCACACTTACATACAGTAAGCGAAAAAATTGAAAATTTTGAGGGCAATGAAGGAGTGACATACTGAATTTGTAAAGATTGAGGGGCGCGGGAGGTCACAGGAAGTGAGTGCTTTCCAGTCTTCTATCGGTTTTATATCACATATCACAGTATTGATGAAGGAAAGGAGGTGGAGTCCAGAAAACGTGCCGCCAGCATTAGCGTAATTCTGTTACGTCACCTTTGGGTTATGTCACCCACTCATATGAAAACATTAAACTGTTTTTTTTTTTTGTTTGTTTGTTTTGTTTTACGGTAACAGCTGTAGGATGAGATCACTTACTGAAGGGAAATTGAACTAATATGCGGTTCACCGTCACGCCGAATGTGCGGAGATCTATTTTATTAAGCGAGGATTTACAAGCAGTCTGTGGGATTGAACTCTTGTAACGTTTATTTTCTCTTCAGATGTAACCAAGCTGACGATTTTGAGCCAGCCAAGATTTTAATGAACATGTGTTTTACATTTTTCCTTCAAATTAACAAAGGTAAGTCGCAATTTAGAACATTTTTTAAGGTTTTCGTACACCGTTCTTCTTTCGGCCCACTCTCATCTCGTCCTCCCCTCCCCTCCCCCCCTGTTTTCAAAGAGTGTCTGAATCCGCCACTCACACGTTTGCAATGTACTGTCTTCACTCACTTTCTTTGTATAGTTTCTTTAATAAGGCGACTTAAATTTTTGTTTGTTCGTTTTTTATTTAATTTACAGATGGAAAGGAAGTAATGAAGCAGTTTATTGTTCCATACCTCAGAGATCAACCGATTTGGTGAGAAGATTCTTGCATGACACGAAATGCTTTTTTTGTCGATGCAAACCTTTATTTTTTTTGTAATGGGGGGGTCTTTATTTATTATTTTTTTAGCCCTAGATTAGTTGATTTTAATATTCGGTACGAGTACGTTGACATAAAGAACACAGCGTGGTAACAAGAATCGAACTATTGAGCCCGGATTTTTATATATAGCGCCGGAAATTTCTGGTGATCCTCCAAAAAATTAAAGGAGTAGTGTAACATTAGTTTGGGTTGGTTTGACATGGAAGAGATTACGTGGTTGCATATGAAAAACTTAGATAATTTTAAGTTGAATTTTCGCAATGCAGCTTCTCCGAACTACCTCCTCTTCGTACCTTACCAGCTTTTTGCGACGCACGAAACGATTCAAACGACAAATTTAGAAAACTCTCTGATTTTCTAGGAGAACAAGGAAAATTAGTCGAAGCCACAGCGGACTTTTTTGTAATTCTTCCCCCATGTCGATAGAATTGCGCGTTGATTGTAGACATCACGCTAGGACTGCGAGTATTAAGTTGTGTTTTGTTTTGATTTTGTTTTTGTTTTGGTTTTCTTCCTCAATTTAGGAAGTCACTTCGGTTCTGGAACGCAGCTTTTTTCGATGCCGTACATGGAGAACGAGAAGTTTCTGCCATACCAAGGTTTGACCCGTGACATTGTTATGTCGTGCTGTCTTGTTTGTAAACACGCTCATTATCGGCGTTATTTGACTTTTTCTCTCTTTCGTATATGATGTGACGCTCAATTTGACCTTCTTTTGGACCAAAACAAACTTTATGGTTTAACTTCATAGCTGAACTAAATGGGGAAAACAAACTCTCCTAGAACTCGCATGACTTTTAAGATGTCAGAAATCCATCTCTAATTTCTGAATATGGATCTTGACCCAAACTAACAAAACAATTTCCCATGAAATTTCTTTTAACTTGTCTATATTATTTCCATTTTGAAAAATGAAATGAAACTTTCAAAAATTTCAGTTATAATCCACCATATTAGACTATACTAATGACCCTGTGATTATTGCCCCTAGCTAGGTAAACAATGAATGTTAGTTTATCAAGGCTAGTTTTATTTACTGAACAATCAACGTCGAGTACTTTAACTGGTCAATCAGTTTAGTCGTAAACTAACACAGAAAGGAAAAATTTTCCGCAACAACTACTGATTCCCTTATCCTTTTTTACCTTTTAGTGATACGTGGCAGAGTTGGACTGTACAAGAACAAAGTGAATACAAAGAATGTGACAAGAACAGCGTATTTGGTAAATTAGGGTTAGTATCTAGAAAGAGAAGGGGAAACAGAGAATAAATTGCTGAGGAAAACAGACACAAAAATATGTTAAATCAAACTGAAAGTTACGAGAATAAATGTGCTTTCCTTTCAACTAAAGATCTTTCCAATCTTTATATCTATCTTTAGAACGTTTCTCAATAACATGAAGGCATTTGGTCTCGGAAACGACATATGCAAGGAATTTCTTCAGAAAATGAGTATAATTGGAGACTTGAGTGAAGGTAAGCCGACCTCATCAGAAACGCTGGGGCGAGTAGTATGAAATCGAGGCAGGTTTTGATTGTGTGCTGCTCCTTCCTTATTATGGGATAGGCGCTCACTTGGTACATGTCGAGGATAATATGGACTGCTGGCAACCGGTAAAATGACTCTTTCATTACATAACACATCTACTGAACCTTACAGGACGACCTTAAATTACCGACAGAACGAAACCAAGCGAGCCGTGCGGCCAATAACAACACGGACTGACCAATCAGTTTACACGAAACATTTTTGCGACATCGTAACATCAAACGGCCGTTAACTTGACTTGAATGATAACCTTTTTTCATTGTGTTCTTTTACAGAACAAATTGTGCTTTTGGAGAATAGCATGGCTGCGGCTGGTGTTGACGAGCGCTCGCGGTAACTAATCAGTTGCATGATAAGGGAATCCCAGAAGAACGCAGTTTTTCTCAACACCGGCTCACTGCATTCAGGACATCAGCAGTACTCGAGATCATTTTAGTACTTTAAGTATCTACGAAGCCATGTATCAACATCTGTAATATTTTCTTCTAAAAATTATTCATTGCTTACCCACTCGACTAGTTTTGCTCGGAAACGTTTAAGTGCTCCTTACTAAAGGTTGACGATTCAGAGAGCAAATTACTCCTTAGACAGTTTATTGTGTGTTTTCATTTTTATGAGATAAAAATTGTTTCTTTGTATCCCACTTTTTGGTAATGATACGGAAAAGTTCCGGGATTTCAAACAACGTCCCATGAAAGTTCAAAAAAGGCTGTAAAAATCACAATGAATTTCATTTAATCTGCAAAGTGGATTTTGTTATGGTGAATTGTACTGGTTTCGAATGCAATTTGATAACTGAAGCGGTCCCTCAAATTTCAGTTTGGATTTATCTTTATAAACAAGGCCTAGGCGTTTCCTTTACATATTTAAAATTTAAAATTATTTATCGCACAGAAAATGGGATTTGGGTATCTTTTAATTAAATTCAACTTCTTTCGTTTCAACGGAAGACAATTAACGAATTATCTTATTGTAAATGTTATGGCAAGATATTTTAAAAGTTTGTTGTTAAATTATTTAGTTTTCTAAGTACCGTGCTAACAGTGGTCTGTATATGAAGGATTTTAACCACGCCATTTTAAATGGTAATAAATGACATTTCTTAAATTCCCCTTCTCTGGTCATTTCATCAGCTGATTGTTGTACAGTCATTTTATTATCTCCATTTGTTATTGGTTACAATGGAAAATAACTTGACGCACAAAAAATGATCGCGTGTTTCATAGCCCTGTGATACCACAATAGATAGTCCCTTAACTACCCTACCGCTACTACTACTACTACTACGACGACGACGACGACGACAACGACTACTTCAGTAACATTTATGATTCCACAATGATGTCATTTCTAGATCTTCAATTAACGTCGCATTAGTGTGCAAAATATGTGGGAATAAAGAAGAAAATGAAGCAACGATGGATGTAAAAACGTCTTGAAACTAGTTTCTAAGGCGTAAATGGATTCCCATTTGATTCAATCAAATTGAAAACAATTTTCTAGCTTTCTTTTATATATACGTCATTTGCACGCGCGCCTCATGGACAGATAGAGAGAGATTATGAAACGTAATACTCTCACCAGAAGAGAAAAGCCAAACTGGAAGGAATAATAAATCCTCCAAGCGGTGACTCGTCTGAAAATTGAACCATACTGTTACAACATCTGAAGTGAGTCATCGAGACATCAGGGCGACGAAGATCTGTTGCTGCAAAAATCTTATACCTTGAAATTTTATGTTTGAAGTTAAAAAGAAATCAAGTGTAAGAGGGAAGATGGGAGCGATCTATACTTTGACCTAATTCCCCGCACTAAAATAACACTATTACGTATATGCAGTCTTAAAAGCTATCTAAATAAAGCTATATATTGGACTCTGGGGACCCATCTTCCGCAGTGGTCAGAGGTGTAGTTTCTTTTTGGTCCTCGGGTTCTTCTGAGAGCCTTCCTTTTTGGCTCTTGTCAGGATTCTCTGCCAAAACGTGCGCATTTTCTCCGTTTGCTTTGTTTGAGTCCTGGGCACTGTAGAGATAAAGTTTACATTATACCATTTAGTAATACATAGTAGTAAGAGGATTTAGACAGTGTGTCAGCCTTTTTTAAACCCTTTTTTTTAAGGACAATAATAAACTGAAAGAAAACAAGCAAGTCTTGACATGGACAAAATTAAATTTGATTTCAAATGCCTCTGTCACTTTCTCAGGCTGTGCTTGTTGCCGCCAGTGCGTGATGCTTCGTACCTATTGCATGGGAAAGAGATGAGTGGAGGTCGTGGCTTTCCCATCCAAATAAATCCGTAGTTCTCTTTAGAAGTTTCTATTTCCTGCACCGTCTCGCACATGTTGGACAGAAGAGTTTCGGGCAGCCACAGGGACATCAAGGCCGCAATAATGGTAAGAATACCCAGTATAACCAGAGGCAAAGTCACAGACACACCAGGCAACTGAGCCTACAAGCCCACAAAAACACAATCAAATGAGTTACGATGTCAACGCAGATTGGAAACGATAAAGAAACTAGAATATTCGTGGCTTTCTTTGATTCGCAATTTTGAATGTTATGATAACACGCGAAAACAAACCCTTTGTTGAGAGAGTTACCATGAGGCTCAAATCTCAGGCAAGGTGAAGCGCAAACTTTCTGCTTCAAATCTCCAGCGTAAACCTGCTGAATACGACAGACTCCTTTTCACTTATCTTACCCCTCGAAATGGGACGATGTACAATCTCAAAATAACTCTTACCATTAGTAGGGAGCGACTGACCAGATTGAAAAGTGAATTTCCCTTAGGTTTGTTAAAAATTTCTTCACACCAGCGAATACAATTTATAAAGTGTCTGGTTTGTGCAGCGAAGTGTGATTGACAGTACGCAATGTACGGGCTCGAACGACCAAATTCGAGCCATGAAAAGACTATGAATATTTCTTGGGGAAAAATTTATTCTGCCATGTTTCTTTTATTTCCGATGGTGCAACTCACCAGTGCAATGATGAAAGGAACAACCATGCCTCCGATACGAGAAAAAGTCGAGCAAGTACCAAGAGCCATATTCCTACAAAAGAATATTAATTATTTGGATGCTACTGTCAGTGAAACGTTCTGACGTAAGACAAAAGGATTCTTGGCGTTGCAACGAAAGATGCGAGATATTACCACCTGCTTTTTTAAGAATGAAGGTTTGAAACTGCTTTCGAGAACATCAAAAGCGCTTCAGATATCATCGGAAATCTTCGAGCATTTGACGTTTATCATTCGTGATTATGGTTCAGATTACCTGATGGTCGTGGGGTACAATTCACTACTGTACAAGTATACGTTCGAGAACGAGGCTGATCCAAAGAATCGTCCAATCAGCGCCAATGCCGTTATTAAACCTTTCAGATCTATTTGGACAAAGGGCACCATGCCAATTATTAAGCTTTATTTCAGTATTTCTTAATTACAATCTCTCGTTTAAACTGTCCGTTATCACTAGAGTATGTTTCGATCTAGTTGCATTTGGAGAGCTGGATCGAGAGGAAAAGTCATGTCATCTACCAGGAGCAATGGGCTCCTGCATCTAGTTATCAGTTGAATTTTTCAGTGAATGTATCCAGGTAATTTTGTACACAGGAGACGAAACAACTTTAACAGATGTCCCTCTTGCGACATCTCTCTTAAGTTCTTATTTTTCCTACTAGAGAAACAAGTTTGACTATATAAAAACCAATTACAATGAGTTTTGTCGCTAACCTTCCGGAACAAGAAGTACGAACAGACACGAAAGACCGCTGATCATCATGAACACGCAATGCGGAATACGGCGACCAAACCTGAGAGACGGAAATACAAACTGAGAATATTATCACGGGGGAACGTAAATAGGTAGCTGCTACCCCAAAGAAAAGAAAGACGCAGGTCATCTCAGGGGAGGGGAGTGCGCACCCCCTGCATCCCTCCTCTTGATCCACTCCAGAATAAACTAAAAAAATTAAAGCTGTCAAGTGCTTACCGTTTGAACACAATCCATGCCATGGGAGTGTGTGGTAAATCACTCACAAACATCAGAAAAATGTTTAGGTACATATTACCAGCCAAGCTTGGGACATACAGCATAATTCCGTAAAATATCATGCTCAGAACAAGCCTAAAAAACAAAACGTAAAAGATCAACTTTGGTTAAGAAAATTGATTGTATATTACTCAGAATGGAAGTTGCTATCGAATGAAATGAGTATGTTTAAAGAACGAACCAGTTATAACAAAGAATCACAGTTCTTCTTCTCAATCTTGGTGTGCGCACGAGATTAAGAGGTGACCGCTTGACCTCAGACGCGACTCTCTTCGAAGCCGCTTTGCATTCCTCCAACATGGACATGATGGTCTCCGAATCAACAGTCACGGAGTTCTTGTCAGCGTACTTCATAAGAATGGCATGAGCAGATTCTAAACGACTACGAGCAACCAGCCATCTTAAAGACTCCGGAAATACGCTGCAAAGGAAATGTTGAGATAAGATTTGAAAACAATAGGGCCATTGAACGCGGACAAAATAATGACTGTTGTCATTGCTTTTCAGTGTTACGAAATTCTCGCTAGATGGAAAGTTAATGCCAAAGTTATTCTGTTTCTGGTTTATGTTGTGATTGGAGCGTAGCAGGAAGAGGTGGCGGGGCTGGGGGGATGTCAGAGACTCCCTCACCTTTTGTTAAAAACGCGTGAATCCGGAGAATTTACATGGCATACAAATCTCTTCCAGTTCTTAACGTTCCATTTGGCCGTCCTTCCGGCAGCGTGAACAAGAGCCCGCTGATACACGAGTTAAAGCAGCGGGCAGCGGTACAATCTCGAACCCGGGCATCTCGATCCAAGTCTAGCGCGCAAACTACCAAACCAACCCCTCTCTCACCTTCTTTGGCTCTGAGTGGTTTTTTTCAATCGACATTTATTTTTTCTTCTGTATCAAAATCCATTTTTGACTCTATTGGTGACTTCGTATTTGGTTCTATTTACACACCCACCTCCATAAAAGATAGAAGAGGCCCGCTGGAATACTACCGATCAATAGCACTTGTCTCCAGTCTCTAACCAAGTAGGCAGTCATGACCGTGATGCAAGCGCCTATGACCCAGAAGACATCCTGCACTTTTCCAGCAAGAGTGCGATAGCTGCACCCTACCAGCTCCAAAATGTAAACATAGTGCCCCACCACAGACCGGTTATAGCAGCACCCGCACAGAAGCGGAGGAAAGTAAAAAATGATAAACAGTCCGCAAAACCTGACGCCAGGCTAAAACTCAGCTAAAATAAGAAAAATGAAAGGTCGCAGTAAGAGATGAAGAGAGACAGAATATCACATTTTGCGACCGAGATAAAAAGTCAAAATAGGAAAATGTAATTTAAATCTCCCAAACAGCAGCAACTGGAAAATTCAACTTTGAATACCTTTCTTGACTGAGCAGCAAGTGACCAGATATTAATTTCTCTTCGACCAAAAATAAGGACACTTGGTTAGTTTCAGCTAGCTTGTGGTACCCGTGTAATTTTGATTTTCAATTTACGACTTGATAATCGGCCTACATTTTAGAACGACTTACTCTGTTAATTCAGAGTGTAATGCACACATACATTACAGGCTCTAAAGACTGGCCTTGGCCCTAAAAGATATCGCATAGGTTTCTTTTATTGACTCACGCGCAATGTGCAAACCAGAAAACTAGACTCACCGCTAAAGCACTGCATAAAAAAAGACAGAACCTCCTTCCGAAGAAGTCTGATATCACGCCAAAGAAGATAGATCCTGCCATCATACCAGCTACAAATAACGACTGAACCAAGGCAGCAATATTTTTCTTGTCACAAATCAGATTCCACTGGAAAAAAATGTATTGCTTGCATTAAAAACCTCGGCTTTTATGGTTTTATAAACTTGGTGAACCTTACTGGTACATGACGGGAGTACCCAAGGGCTATGCGAGTGTCTTTATTCTCCCCAGGCGTCTCCATAATCAGCGCTTCAGCAGAAGCGTTTTTACACCCGCGGGAAAGTTTGAGGCCTTTAGCAACGCGAGTCGACGAGAAGTCTCCCCGACTCGTTTAAAGTCTTCGAGGGCCTGCTCTTAGGCTACTGTCGTTTATGCTGATCACGATATGCACATCTATCCGCGTCTGTTTCGGTGCTTGAGACGCCTAAACGACGTACGTCTATTGGGAGGACTACACGCTTCTCTCCCCTTCCCCCAGTGATCAATTTGCAAGAACTGAAGGTTAACCCTCCTATCGAAACTTACCTCAGTCACAGTGCTTGTAAAGGATTTGTCGAAAGCATAAGTGGTACAGTTGTCACAACACTTGCTTTCCTCGCAAGTGACGTTGGGTGTCACGCAATGAAACTTTGGTGTACCAGTGGCGAACACTAGCGAGGCTATTTGAATGGCGCTCGGGACTATCACAAGGAAGCATGATGAAAAATACAAAAACTTCTGCCATAAACCAAATTCACCAACATAACGTAAGATGTCGTCAATACGGTGGGTCTCGGAGTCTTTTTCTTTGGCCATTCTGTCAAATAGTTGGGGGAAAAAAGGAAAAAAAAATTCAAAATGTAGTTTTCGACGAATTCAAGGCTAATTTTCTCTCCTACACTATGAAAGATACACTGGAGGGAAAACTTTCGCTGATTAATTCACAGAAGAAGAATTATTAGGTTAGTTTGTTCGCTTTGGTTTAAAATGTCTATTAAAAAGGCTAATTTGGAATTTTTACCTATTCCTAACAAAAGGCACCAATAATCAAAACCTTGAACTCCTTAGGATCACCCTCAGGAAATAATTCGAGACCAGCAAAAATATTTCAAAAAGAAGACAAATGGTGGAAAAATTGAACAAACAAATAATGGGCGAGACAGTAACAAATATAAATTTAATTTTTGCGAGCCATTTTAAGACACTACATGCGCGTTTTAACCCCTTTTTTGTCTTGGAAAATAATGGCCGTTTCATGATAATACGTTCTTAGTTCCTTTCATTTATTCGCTAGCCGATGAAGATCTCTAAAAATCCCTTTTTCTTTTGTGTATAATCAGTCCAATAAAAAAAGTTACCCTGATTCTTTTAACGGAAATAAATATGGAAATGACTAAACTAAAAAAAACAAAAAACAAACAAAGAGTAACAATGATGACAAATGTAAGTTCGTGTTTTCCAGTGACTAAAATTAACAACGGTATTTTAAATGGGTCACATATTGATCCATTTGAGCAATTTTACAGCAGAATGCAAATATTTTGAAAAATTACAGCAATATGAGCTGGAATAGAGATCCAAGGAAAACATTAAGGGTGGATGGCAAATGACGATCTTGGTTTGACGAAAAAATTTAAAAAAAGAAGGGTCATAAAGAATAATCTCTTCGAAAGTTTACCGAAGCTCTAATCCAACTAACGACCAACATTTGTTATGAATGAAAAAACCGAACTGATGATAGAACCAGGCGTGAGGTCAAGATGACTGGAAATCAGCCACATTTCTTTTCGTTTGTTTTGGTAGAAACGAGATCGAAGACAATAAAAACACTCTGAAAGGAAAGAGATCGTCTAAATAGAACACTATTTTTCTTTCAAGGATTGATTTCAGCCAAAAGAATACACCGAAGTCCTTGAGTTTTTGCTAGAACGTACAGAACGGCTCGGGTAAACCGAGCAAGCAAGTCAGTTCTTTGTCGCTTACTCGGTTGGCAAATTAGAACAAAGAATTCCCTGTATCCAGCACATTCATTCCGGGTGGAATATGTAAGACAAAGATAACTTTTCTTAGACGCCATGGCAATAACATATGCTACCTGAAGAATACTTACTTTCTTCAATTAGTTTAGACCTGATGCAGTTATGGTATAAGATGTCTCCGAAAGGCAGACCATGAACACCTATGGATATTATTACTTTTGAACATAGTACGATGACACGTATGTCGTGTTCACTTAGATGTCGAATTACTAGGGCATTTTTCTATAATAATAACCGCACGCAAATCGGGAGATGTTAAAAACCCTCTCTTTATTTAGTGGTGTAGTTTCTCGCTATTTTTTAAATCAAAGAATACAAGTGTTACCTAAGAAACATTAAAAATTAGATTGCGTTCTTTCTATACTATTTCGGTGGAATTCGCAGTTTTCGTGCTTTTTCTGGTCGAAAATTAATGCCACCTACCAACCAACGTATCCACGTCTAGATTTTGTTGAACTGTGAACATTTCGCACAAATCTAGCAGAAACGAACTGTTCAAGTAAGTTAAATATTACCTGTGTTTGTGGACCAAGACTAACGTGCACCTTGAACTGCACAATAGCAGCTAAATAGTTTGAAATACTCACGGACATTTTAGTTCATCACAGTTATGATTATTTCTTCTTACCTTAGAAGTTACTTGTTGATGCTATTGCACAAAAGAGTTCTCACTGCTTTCAGCGAAGCTCGTGAAAAAGGGTTTAGAGAAGCAAAACGTTATTGCCGCAATAAATGCCTCTTGTTATTTTGGATTTTTTTTTTCTACGTGATGTTTATTTGACCCAAAGTGACAATAGTAATCAGACACAGGTGCTGACAGACGATCAGCATGTGAATCGTAACACAAAGGTGCAAACACGATTGACGGGTAACTTTGTAGAAAAGAAAATGGTGGCGCGCGCAACAGGGATTTGTCGATGAGAACAATCGTTTCCGTTTTCTTTTAGCAAAGTGAGACTTACACGAAAGCGAAGGGCGAAGGGGTGCAAAAAATTAGGAGCAGGGAGGAGGGGGTGGGAAGCCGGTTGCTGAAAGACATGTTGCCGAATGTCGTACGAAAGCTAGCGAAACACCAACCTGGCGACTTAATACGCCGATCGCAGCGATCGACGAAAATCGCCAGTTGTGTCCAGTGTGGCGCTTGCCATTTTTGCCGATCGTCGCGATCGGCGCATAAAATCGACGTTATTTGACATGTCAGATATTGGCGAATTTAATCGCCGTGATCGGCGAATAAACATGATAAAATCGCCAGGGGTGTCTCCTGCCTAAGGGGGTCTTCTAAACTATTGGGTGGCAATGCAATATCACGAGTGATGAATTATCCGTCAGTCAAGGCGATTGATCGTTAACCTACATTTATTAGAATTCAGTTTACAGATTAGATCAGAGAAGTTTGCTCCTTTCATTCAATGAGTAACAGGGGCGCGATTTGACGGTCTCAAGCTAAGTATTCTTCATTCTTTCGCTCTGCGTTTCCAACTCGTCTCGTCTACTTACTGAACGCCTGTAATAAGCTAGGATTGAATTCAAACAAGAGCGAAATTGCTCTTCACGAGATTCAAATTCATACTGATTCAGATTTGCAGAGAATTGCTGCTTTTTTTGTTTGTTGTTTTTTTTAGCAGAGTTACATTATCACAGCCGTGAAGGAGCATCGTGTGCCATAACTGATGAGGAAGGAACGACAGACATTTTTTCTTGGTGCACGCAATATTCAGTATCGAAGGTGTTACATCATCATGGGCTAGAAAACTTGAATTGTTGCCAACCTCATCAGTTCCTGAGTTCACCTATCCGTGAGGAAAATCGTGTAAAAAACGAAAGGTGATAAATGAGTAGATAGAAATATGAGGGGAAACCCCTCGGCAACGGGGAAACCCCCTTGGTGTGGTGGGAACCTATCCGCGGCTTTGAGGTGAAAGTGAAACATAGGAAACCTCATTAAACATTTATTTCGAAAACGAAACCTCAGGTAAATATATTTTATCTTTTAACCAGCTGCTAATTATATAAAATATTAAAAGTTTAATGCTTTGTGTCCCTCTAAAAAGCCTTTTATAGGGAAATCCGTTTTTTCTTTTCCTTGGTAAAGACGATTGACTTTAATTTTTGTTTGGTCAATCCATAACAAGTTCATTGTCGAAAAGAAACAAATTAATTTGTATCCGAAGAATGGAAATTGGTTCCGTAAACAAACATACGACACCAGAAAGGGAGAGATTAAATTTGTTCGTGAAAACCCACTTTCATAACATTCCTGACGTGTCTAACCTTCGCAGTCGTCATTCTTGTCACGCGACGTGAAACACGACAATGTAAATCACACCATTTTCAAAATGGAGAAACATGCACTTCCTTAAAAAACTTGCTGCGCGAAGCTTTTTGCATGTCATGGCAAAACCTTGAAAGATCCTATGATTTTGACTCTATAATTGGATCGAATTACTTCCCTCCCTCGCGGCAGTTTCCGCCCGAGAGTGAAAGTCTAGTGTCCATCGATCAATCCTTATCTGCTCAAAAGGACAAATCCAATTAGTACGAATATTGGTGAAGAAATATTTCTTATGGCTGAGGAGGTCTCGACCAATTCTCGTTGGTCTAGGTAAATTTTTTTTATGTTATTTCGCTATATGTTATGTCTTATTCTTTAATGAACCTATCGCAAACTTTTATTTTGATCATTTGGGAAGAAAGCGCGACAGATACGTAGGTAAAGCGCGCCTCACCAGGTATTCGTCTCAGTCTGTTTTGATTTGTATCACTCTGTAACGCGCTGAAACGAGTGACCTTTGACATTTTTGATGTTTCAACAAACATCACCTTGAAGGTTTTCACGAGGTATGCGATCATAAGCTTACCGGCGAAGCGGAACAAGGAAATAAAGCGCGGCGGTGATGTGCAATCGACTCCTTTACGGGACCTGGTTAATTCCAAGATAAACCATCTGCCTATTTCTCAACTGAACAACCACGGCTCTTGGTTATCGGTTCCTTCAGGTTTGAAGACATCATTGCATACCGTAAGTTAAGTAGACGCACTTCGTTCAGTCCTAGAAGACAGCCGAAAAAGATTCTCTGTGATTCCATTTTTTAAGCAGTCATTGACAAAATCTTATGTTTCATGTTTCGTTTTGTTTCCTCTTCCTTCTCGGGGATAGCCACCTCGCAAGCGTATAATCACGAACAGTAATGATTACGTTTTTGACTTAACCGAGTCTTCACTGAGTTTTCTGATCGTGCAATTGTTTTTCGACTCCTAGGAATAGAAGAGACAGCTGATATCTCTGAGCATACCTAAATCGTAACCGAAATTCAGAGATGGGTAAGTGCTGGAAAATTATATTTATTACAGACTTCGCTTCTGAGAGGTCGCTATATCGATGAATTTCCGGGTGGCGAGTAGTCCTCTCCTTCACGGCACGATCACTAGTTAATCTTTAGCTAAGTGATTTCATTAGAGATATTGAATTTTAAAACTTAGTCAAATGGGAATCTGACATTTTAATTGTAGTCCACCTTCCTATCAGATTAATGTTTTTGTTTCCTCTTTTATTTGCTTGCGTGTTTGATTTTTTCGCCTGAGCGCGCATTACTAGTGAAGTCCAAGATTTAAATTTCTGAATTCAAATTTTTTAAAGAATTGTGTGCGAATCTTTTTAAGTTTTTTGCCAAACATGTCCTTGATACTGAACTTGCCGGTGAAACAACCTTTTATAAAGTTTTTCCTCGTAACTTTCGCATAGTTATTCAACAACATCGACTTGCAATTACTAGCACTGCATAACTTGCAAAATATTGTATGGCAACTTCAGGCTCCGAAATTCCAAGTTGCAGCGCAATGATGTAATTGTTGTACACCAGGTCACTTGACCGTGAAATGAAATGAACATACAAGTAATCATGCAGTTTTCTTCAGTTATTACCTTATCACATTTGCAATGATTGCGTGACACAGTCCCAATCTTGTATTATCAGACCATAACAATCTGTGAGAGATTTCGCGACTTTTAGGTCTTTGGCGGGGAAGGGGTGTGGAAAAATTGATTTTGGGATCACGTTATTTTTTTAGGGGGGAACGGAGGGGGGATCAGTTGTCGCCAGCAGAGTATAGAGGGGGACAGTTAAAAAATTGACTGCCAATTAGCTGTCAATAACGGGGGATATCATTAATTTTACACAGCCAAAATCCTTCCACCCCTCCCCCCCCCAGTCAATGATTAACAACCGGTCTCTAACTGTTGATAATACACATTCGGGCTGTTCAGGCACGTGATATCCATATTTGGCCTCTTTTCCCTTTCGCGAGGCTTGTTCTTGTGTATATGACTCGGCGTCAAGCAGAGGGAAAAACCCCGACTCTGAAACTCCAATTTGCAGTGGCAAGTTGGATGTACTTGTCGTGTATCAGGTCATTTGAACATGAAGTCAAAATGAATCTACAAGTAATCATGCAGTTTTCTACAGTTATCATTCTATTATATTTGCAATAATAGCGTTTCACGGTGACTGTAACAATCTGTTTATAAAACTTCCTCTGACTGCTTCTATATTTAGCCTCTTTTCGCTTTCGTGGACCTTGGTCATGCGTAAATGACTTTGCATCTTAGCAGCACAAATGTAGAAAGTTAACTCATTCCCTCTGTTGAATAAACTATCCTCCAGCCGAGGTCGACAATCAGTGTCCCAAGCTGATGTTTATCCACTAGATGCACAATTTTTCATCGCATGAAGTCCCTTTATTATTTCATTGAACACTCTTCGCCGGAATAATATCACTCAGAAATTGTTAATATCTCTGACTTTTGATGTCGCTACAGATTGTTTCATCGACGCGATCGATGCAAAACATCAGTTAACCGAGTCCGTCATCCATACACTGCGACTGCCTGAGAAAATTGGAGACAAGTGGAAGGACTTAGCAAGAAAACTGGGCTACATTGAATCCGTCGTTAATGCAATTCAAACTGAGGAAAATAACATTCCAAAGGAATGTTGCATCACTGTGCTTGTACGATGGATGGAACGAGAAGCAGAGGGTGCCACTGTCGAAAGGCTTGCACAAGTTTTAACGGAAATAGAACTGAAGAATCTCTCCCGATTACTAAAAGGTAGGAGACCGTGATAAGGCATAAGACAATTTATTATATAGGTGGCTACGCCCGTAGGCAAGATGAAGTGAACCTATGTGCTGATTGGCTACCCAAGCAGGCAAGATGAGCACCCCCTTGACTACTTGATCGGGATTGCACCGTTTTGATCCCGCGCCAGAAGGTTTTTTAAAAATTTGCGTGGAGCCGACTTGCAAACTCTCTAATTTTTGGACAATGTCGTTAATAGAGATGCAAAAAGCGGCAGAAGACAGTCAAAACAAAGATTTATGCGATTTAAGTCAATTTAAGCTCAGTTAAAATCTCATGGCAAAATTTCCTCAATGCATGTAATACTTTTTCGTAGATTACGCATTGGGTGGCGAAGTGGATGTAGTTGGATCAGACGATCGAGGCCAAGTAAGTCCTTAAAATTATAGAAATAAGTCCTTAAAATTAAATAAAATTGGATAAAAAGTTTAAGCTTCCTGAATATTTGACCGAATCTATACCACAATACCATCGGTAGGCTTAAACCGAAACAATGCAACCTGGCATACAGACGTGCGCAAAACCTGCCTTTAAGGAGAGTTTGAAGGTATTTGTTGAAAATAAAGGGTTCGGAGCCGCTAAATTTCAAGTTCTCCTCTCGACACCTACCCGGTTTATCCGCACATTTGTACGCGAGGCTAAATTGAATGCTGAAATTGAAAGTTGGCAAAAAGTAGCTTATTCAAACTAGCTAAACCTGTGTATCGTTCTTTATTTCAGGTTGACAAATTGCAGAAGAAAATAATTGAAATACAAGCAAACGCGAAGCAATTGGAGGAGGAGGTGGCGAAATAGTTCTTAATTGACTGTTAAGCTTTTGGAGAGTGAGCGAATTAACTGAAAATCCATTTCTTTCTGTATTTTTCTTAAGGGTTCCAAAGTGAAGGCAAAAATGAAAGAATTAGAAGAAAAACTTGCAGTGATGACACAGGAAAAGCAAACCTTTGAAGAAAGAGTGAGTTTTTAATAAAATCACGTATCTTATGCGATCGCCGTTTATCTCCGGGACTTCTGGATTATATCTATTCACTGAATGGCTGAAGCGAGAGTCAAAATAAAGGAGGAAAAAGGTAAACAGTGCAGACAACATCCAGGCTCACGATGAAATTGAATATCAACTGAAAAAATTGCTATTAATACCTGATGATTTTGTTCTTCTCATGAACTTCATTGAACAACTTAGCCTCTGACGTAGCCAGGCGGGATGGTCTAAGGGCACCCGAGGGATGCGAGAAGAATGGGGATTAATCAAAAAGCTGCTCCGCAACTTGCGGTGATGTGCTCGCCAGTTGGGCTAATTTGCCTGTATAATTCTTACAAAAAGCAAGTGAATGAATCTCTTTACTCAAAGCTAATTGTTTGCTTTTATGACACAGTGCCAGAAATTGCAAGAGGTAAACTCAGAACTGGTAAAAGAACTGCGAGATGTCAAACAGCAGATCCAAGCCGGGAGTTCTAAACAGGTAGGAAAGTTATTGAGAGGCTACTAGGGTCACTAAGTGTTTATAGAATTAACTCTGAGGGTAACATAATATCATTTACTTCGGCATGGACACCAGCAGGATTTTTCAGTTGGCGGTCGGTCCTACATTATGTCTTTTTGGCATTTGAAGGCATGTCAGGCTGTCTTGGGAACCAGTCCTCAGTTATAGCC